CTGCTTCGGGCATTGCCTCCGCCGCTGAAAAATTCCGAAGTCACGGAAGTGTGCACAAACAGAGCTCAACCCTTGAAGTCAGCACAGCAATCTCTGAAGTCCTCTTTGTCCAGCAGCTTGAGCCACACACGAAGTGTGGGTGTCGAAGTAAGCTGAAGAAGGCAGGCTGTACTGGGAAGTGTGCCAGAAGTAGTTATATCTTAGCACGCTCCCTTGAAACAAAGAAATTGCACGAAGTTGTTTCAACCAAGCAAAAGAAGGATTGAGTGAAGTTGGAAGTCCTCCAAACGATCACTGAAGTGGGATGTGCCCACTGAGATCACACAGATCAAAGCGAAGTGACTGTACACATGAAGTCACTACGATGCCACCGGCTGAAGTCTCAGTAGCGAGCTCTCAGAAGTTGCACCGCCAACTCCCTGGAGATCCACGAGTCCTCCTGTGAAGTGCTCTCGAACCTTTGGAAGTCGCTCATCCTCATGGGAACGTGCATGAACCGATTGGTTCCATGCGAAGTCTTCGACCACACGAGGTCAAAGAACTGCTGGAAGTTCCCAGGAAGTCGAATGATCGCAAGCGACTCCATGTGATGTGGCAACATCAAGAAGTCTCGGCCTGGAACGCTGATGAAGAAGTCGATGTAGCGTCGGTTCCAGCACCTGAAGTAGCCATTCTCAATGAAGTCGTGCACCTCACGAGAAGCGATGCGAAAGGACAGAAGTCCAATGCCCGCTTGAAGGATGCGCGCAGCCTCGGTCGGGGAAGTTTCCAACAGAAGTTGAAGACCGAAGCTTGCCAACCACACTGCCGAGCGAGGGCAGAAGCAGAAGTTGAGCATGTCCACCGAGAACGGCTGAAGTTCACTGGTCAGCCGAAGTGGTCCATTGCCTGCGCGAGAGCATCAGAAGTAGGTTCAGCGAAGTGCAGAACCACAGCCGCACCGAAGGCTCGCCGAAGTCGTCTCTGAAGTTGGGCGCGACGAAGCTCGCCTTGAAGTTCACGCAGAAGTCGTTCTCGTTGGAGACGTACGAAGTGCTCCTTGCGAAGAGCTCCGGGAACAGCGAAGTGGCAGACGAACCTGAAGTCAGGGGTCCCCGGCAGCAGAAGTTTGCTGACCTGGCGGCCTTGGCGAAGTGACTCCAAGAAGTCGTCGACGTTCTTGAAGTGCGTGTAGCACACGTTGTCCGTGCTGAAGTAGTTCATGCCCGCGAAGTGGTCCCATCCAAGATGGGATCTCCCGCGCCCAAGAAGTCGGGCCGCCTCTGTTCCATAGAAGTGAACACGTAGAAGATCTGCTGCACGAAGTAGAACCCTGAAGTGCTGCGGGTGAAGTCCACAGATCGTCTCGAAGTGGCTCGATGCGTAGCGGAGGTCCATCCAGATGTTCCCCGGAAGAAGTCTCGTGGGAACTCGAGGAGGATGCTCATCCCTCTCGAAGTGAGGATTCGGCACGTAAAGCTGATGCTCCTGAACGAAGTTGCGAAACTCCGAAGTCACCTGAGCCTCCTCCGAAGTCGAAGGTGCCGGCAAAGATGAACTGGGAAGTCCAAGGATCACGGCCTTGGGCATCGGAAGTTGCTGCTGCTTGGGTGCCATCTCTTCTGAGAAGTCGAGAGGTAGAAGCTGAAGCCACTGAAGTCGCCGATGGCAAAGAAGTCTTCATAATAAAAACCATGTCCCAACCGAAGTGGGCACAATCCGGTATGTAGTAAAAGATCCATGTCCCAACAGAAGTGGGCACAATGCGGTGTGAAGTTCGCGAACCATCCATGCAGAAACGAATATCCCAAAGAAGTTGCCAAGAACCCAGCCCGAAGTAAACACAAGCAGCGTCCATGGCAGCAAGCGAAGTGAGGCACGAAGTCGCAGCCAAACGAGCGGCGGCGGCCATGAAGTCCTTGCACAGGCGGCTCTAAAGGTGAAGTTTCTAGACACTAGAGGACCTCACCGACCCTGAAGTTTCAGAAGGGGAGCTCTGCCTTTCACAAACGAATTGAAGTGAAACGTCTTGAGGCACCACGTTCAGAAGTTAGAGCGGCCTACCAAAAGGGTAGCCTACTCCTAACGTTCCTAAATGCCTTTGAAGTACCTCACGTGAAACATACTTTGTCAGCACATCTGCAGGATTCGAAGTACCGGCTACCTTCTTTACCTGAAGTACACCTTGCTGAACTAGCTCTTGCATAAAAAGAAAACGAAGTTCGACATGACGGGTTTTCTTCGAAGCTCCGAAGCGTGTCGACATGCTTTTCCCGGCGGACGAATCGGTAAAAACACGAATGTTCACGCGCGAAGTGATGTTCATTTCGATCAAAAGTGATTTCAAGAAAAGGCATTCCGAAGTGCCCAGGCCGATGCTGTAAAGCTCGGCTTCTCCAGACGAAGTGGCAATCGTCTGCTGAGTGCGGCTTTGCGAAGCAATCAAACATCCATTGAAGAACACCGACACACCTGAAGTACTCTTCCTAGTGCGCACACAGCCAGCCCAATCACTGTCTACATACGCTACCACATCAAGAGAAGTCATCTCTGGACGAAGCTTGACTCTCGGACGAAGTGTCAAGACGCAAGCCTTGCTCCCTGCCAGGTAGCGAAGTATCATCTTGACCTTGGCCTTGTGGTCCTCAGTCGGAGAAGTCAATCCCCGAGACAGTTCCTTGACAGCATACTGAATGTCTGGGCGTATGCTGCTCAGCCAAAGAAGTTGTCCTACGACTCGTCGGTATCTACGGTGCTCGGCTGCATCTAGAAGTGCTTCGGATTCGATTTGTTTGCGAAGTGCATCATTCCCAGGAACAGGCCTGTGCCAACAGCTTTGCAGATCATACTCCTCCAGGATTTTGTCTACATATGAAGTAGGCATGGAAATCTCAATTGCATCTTCGCGTCGAGTGATGCATCTACCTAGGAAGTTGATACTCTCCCCCGGCTGAAGCGTTCCTTCCCGTCTCAAAAGAAGACGCTCCTGCAGTTTAGCGAACAGGTGTTCACACGGCTCCTTTGCTCCGAAGAGAAGTACATCATCTACGTAGCAGAGAAGGTACACCTTAAACTCAGGATGGAAGTAGAGGTTGTGGTCGCTCTTAAGACGCTTGAAGCCGAGATCCGCCATCACGCTTGCGAAGTGCAGTTGCCATGCCTTCGGACTCTGTTTGAGTCCGTACATTGCTCTGCGAAGTTTCCACAACACCCCGCCACTGGGGTAGAACTCACCTGGAGGAATGACGAAGATCTCCTCACTCAGAAGTGCGTGAAGAAACGCCGTTGACACATCTCCAGCAAGAACAAACCACAGTTGTAAGTGCACTTAAGTGTGAGAAGAAGTTTGAGCGTAGCGAGCGAAGGTGTGCTCGCAACAGTGTCGTCAGGGTCCTCGACGACCTGGTCGAAGCCTCTGACACAAAGTCTGCAACGAACACCGTCTCCCTTAGGGCGCTTGACCCATTTAGTGGAGATGGCGTTCTGAAGTTGCTCCTCGGAACACTCGCTCACAAGCTTTTCCTCAAACACTTCAAAGTGCTGAAGTGACTCGCGCTCTTTCTGCATGCCAAGAAGTTCCTGCTCCTTGTCAAACTCTGTGTCGTACCAGACGACAGGCTCGCTCGCACGCAAGGCCTGAAGTTCTTCATCGCGGTCAACATTGACCTCGACAGGAACCTCAAGTCCATCACGCATGGCCACAGATGCAACGCATGAAGTCTCAACAAAGCAATCCTCAAGAACCGCGGAGATTCGCTGAAGTTTGGTGGAACTTTCAGCAACTTCCGCAGAGATCTCTCTCTTCTCTCCTTGTGGCTGCTTGCCTCTCGCACGAAGTAGCGGAGGCTCGTCTTCAGGAGATGCTTCTGCGCTGCGCTTGTTGCCAGAAGTGCCGTCAGAGCTGGAACCTGCAGCCTGCGCTCCCTGCGCGTCAGCATCTGCAGTGTGTGCAGATTGGGCGTCTGGCTGCAGAGCTGGGAGAACGAAGTTCGCACTTTCCTCTTGACGTCCACGCGGGTCCCAAGGTGTTGCCTTCAACGACTCAAGAAGTTCTTTGTTGACCTGCTCTTCCGCAGGAAGTCTCCTAACACTGCGAGTCTTGAAGACACCGTTGGCGTTGCCAACCACATGCATGTCCGAAGTCGTTTCACGACCAAGCCACAACGCATGCTCCCAAGCGGGCTCAGCCTTGGGAACACGACCAGGAAGTCTGAACAACACAACCTCACCGAAACGGCGCACTGCAGAAGTGTACTTTCGGTCCCAGCGCCTTTCGTAAGGCGTCC